AAAACTATGTGCTGACTTGCTGAAGACGAGTGGCGCAGCTGATCTCAGATATGGAGCTTTATTTCTCAATAACACATAGATACTACCAAGGTTTTTCCATCGAGACGGCTGTGAGCTTCCTTGATTAGCACGGATTGGGCTTCCTGTATGCTGAGTCGCTTGGCCAGGGGAATTATGGTTTCCCGTACGTCTTGCTCCTTTGCCAAAGAAAGCTATGTGCTGATTTGTTGAAGACGAGTGGTCTTGACATTTTGTTTCATCTTATGAGGTTAAAAGACTTTGGACTTTCAACTTTTTCGTCACTGATTCTCTTCCCATCCATAGTAGAGCTTCTTCTTTGCTTTTTCCTGTTAATTTCCTGTCTTAGGGTAGGTCTTAGCTCAAATTTTCATCTGTCTTTTTCTAAAAGTGTTTTCATATGATGGTGTATTGGGAATTACGATTGCCGCTTTAGGCAATAAATACAAACTGTTTAATGTATAATTTAGGAATTTCGTGTTCTTTAGGGTTAGCGTGAGTATTGGGACTTCTGACTTAATTAGGAATTTTGTTGTGGTGTTCTTTATGAAATTTGTAGTCCTTTGGTTTTAGAAATTAATTGAAAATTTGAAACCCTAATTAGGATTTTCGTTGTGGTGCTCTAGGAAAGCGGGTATTGGGGATTTGGTAGTTTTTTTCTTTAGGAAGACAGTGTTTTTTCTACAGGGGAGGGGCTCCACCCCATGAAGCGGATTTGGAAACCTTGCGACCCCCGATTCTGCAGTTGTTTGACATTGTATTTCTGCCTTGGGCACTGGGTCCTGATAAAACTGCTGTTTCTCAAAAAAAAGAAAAGAAAGGGATATGCAAGTGGGAGAAGGGAGGTGGGAGGGAGACGCCGAGGGGTTGGGGGCTGATTCAATTCAATTCGATTGCTTGTTGACAACAAGAGCATTGACAGTCCGGTAGGCTGTATGCCACGGGAGAGTAGCAAAGCCAAAACTGCTTGCAGCTTCCTCTGGACTCCTGGTTTTTTTGTTTTTTTTTTGCTCCTATTTCTTTGAAAAAGTTGAATTGTGGGCCTTTGGGGCTCGTTCGACACTCCTTGGGGCGTCCTCCGGGCCGAAGGAAGTTTCCTTGGGGGTTTTCAAGGAAATTCCCGCCATCATTCCACCTGTCCTCGGGGACGTCGCCCGAGGACATTTCCTTCGAACGATGTCAGACAAGAAAAAAGAAAAGAAAAGAAAAATCAAATGTGTTTGAGGCCTTCAGCCAATAGGGGGCCGCCAAGATCCAGATTCTCGGTTGTAACGTCTCTCTACCCATGTGCCCGCTCCTCTCCGTGAATGAGGATTCCTTTTGCTCAAGGGACCTCGTGAGGTTTCTTGGGCAAAAGGAAGAAATGGCTGGGGAATCCTCGGAGCCCAAGGAATTTCCTTCGGAGTTCCTCGGGGACTTTACGCCCCCGAGGAGTGTCGAACAAGCCCCTTTGTGGCTCAATAATTTGCTCCTTT